GACCCATGGGAACATTCTGGGCAAGCTGCTCGCTCAGAAAGTTCCCACGCTATCCCGTGCGCGCACATGTACACAACACACAAAGGCAACAACAAGGCAACAGTCAAAGAATAAAAGGGGGTAAAGTAGGTGGGGAGTCCGGGGCACCCTAAGGCAGGGTGCTGAACCCTGACAGCATCCTGGAACTGCCTGGACCATATCCCTCTCTTAAGGAGGTGGGATAGGCTATAGCTCCTGATAGGGAGCTACTGGATGAATGGGAGTGACTGCTCAACCACCTGGTGGACTGGTGGGAGCAGGCACATCAGCAAAAAATTGTTATGCTCCTGAGTGCTCCAGAGTATCGAGAGCACTGGGAGAATCAGGAGGAGATTGGCTGGTCCAGGAACAGCCCATTTCCTCTGGAGTTGGCTAGGTACTCCAGGGCACTCCCAGGAGGGCCTGGAGCATTGCTTTGTGCACAAACATATCCAGTAAATACAATTTAAATGCTTCAGAGTGTATAGGGGTGAGAAGCTTCTGGGAGCTCCTGGAGCATTTGAAAATGAAAAGGAAAAAAAAAAGAGGGAAGATCCCCCATGAATACCTCCTACCACAAGACTAACACAACAAGACACTGCTTAACATTTAGATCAAACACTATACTATATATCAAGGACACTGAGACTCACCAATACACAATCAAAATTTATGGCCTGATATATGATTAATCTGGCAACTTAATCACTTTTGGGCTGGCAGAATATGGGGGAGGGGGAAATGGGGGAGAATGAGGGGGGGAAATGAGGGGGAAATGAGGGGGAGAATGAGGGGGAGAATGAGGGGAGAATGAGGGGGAGAATGAGGGGGGGAATGAGGGGGGGATATAGAGGGAAATGAGGAAATTTTGAAAAATAGGGACTTCTAAAAAGTTGAAAAAAATAATTAGGGAAAAAATCAAAAAAATTCAGGAACTGTAGTGCCTTTGAAATGCTTTCAGGATATATAATTATTTGCAAAATTGAGGAAGAAATGATGGAGAAAAATGGAAAATACTTTTGGAGACCTGAGAAATAATGAGAACTGAATTGATGGGAAAGTCTGAAAATTGAATAGGGAAGTGAGGGGAAGCCTTGTAGCATTGTTATTTTCTGCTGTTCTAATTTTTCCTGATTGTTCTTGGTCTCACTCCCAGCTGCTACTGGATACTCCTGGATACTCCTGGAAGCTCCTGGGAGGGTCCAGGAGCAGCTAATGGAAAATACTTTTGGAGACCCAAGAACTGAATTGATGGGAAAGTCTGAAAATTGAATAGGAAAGTGAGGGGAAGCCTTGTAGCATTGTTATTTTCTGCTGTTCTGATTTTTCCCGATTCTTCTTGGTCTCATTCCCAGCTGCTCCTCAATACTCCAGGAAGCTCCTGAAAGCTCCTGGGAGGGTCCAGGAGCAGCTGGGAGTGAGACCAAGAACAATCAGGAAAAATCAGAACAGCAGAAAATAACAATGCTTACAAGGCTTCCCCTCACTTTCCTATTCAATTTTCAGACTTTCCCATCAATTCAGTTCTCATTATTTCTCGGGTCTCCAAAAGTATTTTCCATTTTTCTCCATCATTTCTTCCTCAATTTTGCAAATAATTATATGTCCTGAAAGCACTTTAAAGGCACTATAGTTCCTGAATTTTTTTGATTTTTCCCTAAATTTTTTTTTTCAACTTTTTAGAGACCAAAATTTTCCTCCCACTGCTCCTGGCACATTACATACTCCTCACCACTCCCAGCTGCTCCTGAACCCCCTCCCAGGAGAACACTATTGGCTCCAGGAGTGCCCAATCTGCTGTTTTGTCTCCCACATGCTCCAGCCACTCTTGATGCTCTGGAGCATAACGGACTTTTGCTGATGCAGTGGGAGGTTGGGTGTGGGAATGCCCTCCTCACTGCAGTCTTGTCATGGAAAGGATGAATAGGGAGGTGGACATGGTTCCAGGTTACAGATGTAGGGTTACAGGTGATGGCACAGTTGAGTTGCAGATACAATCACAGTACAAGGGTTTGTAGGTTATGTATTCAATAAGGGAAAAACATCTCTGGCATTTGCCATACATGTCATATGACTTGTATCTATCTAATACAAAGGTTGTAATGGCCAAGGGAAGTCCCTTGGAAATCAACAAATCCCCCAGCCAGCACCAAAACCCAGTGGGAAAGCTTGGCATGGGGTTTGTGTCAGAAGACGGACAGATTTCTGTCAGAGTTGAGGTCAGAGGTTTTGTGTAAGGAAGGGGTGGTGATTTACATTATTCCTTTATTATTCCTTGTTGTACTTTTGTATTTACATATGTATGGTGTGGAGTCAGGTAAAGGGTTCTTTACTCTTCTCCACACCAAGTCAAATACTAAGTTCTGTACAACCTAGATATCAACTGACCTGAGGACTGAAGAGGCACCAAGGTCGGCACCTACACCAACCTTACATTTTGGCAGAGGTCTGTTGGAGTGTGCATGCAAGGATGTGTGGGTGGAAATTAGCAGCATGTCTGGAAGTGCTGTTCAAGGTTAGCAGAGTGGGATTGCAGCCTCAGCAACTCAAGAGGAGCGCTGTGCCCTGAGCTTGACATCTGGGGGAGATCCCTTATTTATGGACTGACACTCACAGTGAACTTCAAACAAGACTTGCAGGTGGAGTGGGCTTGTAGGAGGAGTGCAGACTCCACAAGCATGGACTCAGACCAGACAGGGGGGGTACTCTAGTTGATTTCAGACTGAGGTCCCTGAAAGTATTTACAGGATATAAATAGGCAGGAGGAAAACATAGAAGGGCTGGTCAGTCCCAGCATGGAAATAAGTGGGGATTGTCAAACTGAATGAAGGACAAGAGCCTGGAAGATGGAAGTGAGAAATGAATGAGCAACAATGAGTGATGAGGGTTATTGATGGGAAGAACAATGGGGTCAATAACCTAATGTCAATAAAAGCAGATCAACACCAATATTGGCAAGGTAAGCAAATGGATGAATAAGCATAATAGGCACTCAGCAAGGAATGAATGATAAGCTGCCAAGTGGCAAAAAGGCCAGAGCAAAAGCAGAGTTCAGCATGTGGCACTGATACAAGTCCGCAAATCAGAAAGCAGGGTCAGTGCGGTGCCAACACAAGTCCGTGAAACAGGGGTTGATCTGTCAGTACTGTCACAAGGACAGCATGATGACCAGCAGAGGTCCTGAGGGGAGTGGGAGTGTTGACCTGACCACAGGGTGTGGAGGGCAACCAGAAGCATCAGAGGTGGGTGGAGGTACAGATGCGGGTGGAGGTCTGGATGCAGTGCATGGCTGTGACTGCATAGCAGAGTGATGGGTGTGGTTCAGATGGAGACGAGGCAAGAGGAACTAGAGGGACTGGATGCCAGGAGTGCCAAGGGCTTGGGGTCAGATTGTTGACCAAGTCTCACTCGATAGGACAGGGAGCCAGACATTGGGTTGGGGGCTGGTTAGGATGGGTTTCAGGTTGGCAGATTCACTTATCGGCATTGATTTGCTGCTGACAGAGCCCAGGATTTGTTGGTCATGACAGTTTGGCAAAGAACAAAGTGAAGGAAAGTAAGGAGATGTCTTACCTGTGTGCATGGTCCATAGGAGTCTCCATTTCCATAACAATTTACTACTATTATTATTATTATTTATGATTATTATGACCTGTTTATCTACTTTTATTTACCTATATCTATCTATCTATCTATCCATTTCATCTATTTATGACCTGCCAAGGTCACATGGGAACAAAAAAGAGTTGCTCCCATGGGGGGTTTGCACCAGACTCCTTCCCAGTCGCTCACATGATTTCTCCAAGGTTTAGCTGCAACTTATGTTGCCTCCAAAATCTGTCGAGCGACTGGTACAACTTGCAACACGTGATGTTCCCACGCTAAGTTGTAATAATGAGTTGTACATAGGTTACAGAATATAATTTTTAGTATTTACGCATGTGGTCATTGCACCCAACCCAACCCGTGGAGACTAAGGGAGCACATCCAAGGTTGTGAAGTTAATATCCAGGTGTGCATGAAGTTTAACAGTTTATATATTACTTAGTTGCCAGTCACTTGTTTGTGCTCAGTGGCATAAGTGGTATAGCGCTAGCTGGGGCTATGCAGTTTTTTTAAGTGGCACATGTTCGATTCTCACTTAGGAAAACTTTTTTCGGGCCCTCCCATGGAATAATTGTGTGAAATGGTTGTTTTCTGTACACTAAGGAGTGGAGGGTATGAAAAAAAAAAGTTTCCTAAGTGAGAATCGAACATGTGCCACTTAAAAAAACTGCATAGCCCCAGCTAGCGCTATACCACTTATGCCACCGAGCACAAACAAGTGACTGGCAACTAAGTAATATATAAACTGTTAAACTTCATGCACACCTGGATATTAACTTCACAACCTTGGATGTGCTCCCTTAGTCTCCACGGGTTGGGTTGGGTGCAATGACCACATGCGTAAATACTAAAAATTATATTCCATAACCTATGTACAACTCATTATTACAACTTAGCGTGGGAACATCACGTGTTGCAAGTTGTACCAGTCACTCGACAGATTTTGGAGGCAACATAAGTTGCGGCTAAACCTCGGAGAAATCATGTGAGCGACTGGGAAGGAGTCTGGGTTTGCACTGGTTTTGAGTGGGGGTATTAGTACTTTTGTGCAAGTGTCTGTGCACGCAAAAGTTGTGGGAGGTGAAACTTGATTGCTTATGTAAATGTCACATAAACCTATTATATCTCTGTCAATTCTTGTCTGTGTCTTGTCAGGTTTTTTTGATTGATGCATCTCAATGTCCTCTACATGTTGTATTATTTGTTCAACTCATCATTCAGCAATCTTGAGGAGGTTATGGTGATTTTGCTCATTTCCCACACAAAACTGTATGGTATTAATCTTATATCTTGCTTAATACTGCACCAAACGTTCTATAAATTTGCCTACCATTTTATATATTATCAACGCAAGTATTTAATATTTCTACATATTTCTAAGATGTCTGTGAGGCACTGGAGACCGTTTCCCAAACGCAGATCATGTGCAGAGCTGACACTGGAGTGGTATCTCTGTCAGTTCTTGACCATTTCTCGTCAAATCTTTTGCAATGGGCCCGTAGCAACTTTTTCTCCATTTGGTACTGTTAGTGTAAGTCGTGAATCAGCGTGTATAAGTAACACGATTTTTCCACAAATGAACCATGTACATTAGTATCTCTGTCAATTCTGATTCGTTCTTCGTCGGGTCTCTTTTAATGGGCTTGTACCAACTCCCTCGCCATTTGTTATTATTTGTGCATGTCATGAGTCAGCTTTAATGAGGCAGTGGAATGTTTTTTCACATTTTTTCACATAAAAAAGCATATACATAAGTATCTCTGTCAATAATCATTCATTTTTCATCGTTTTATTTCGTACATGCTTTTACCAATGCCTTCGTCATTTTATATTATTAGTGCACATTGCGAATGAGGCTGTATGAGGTGGTGAGACATTTTTCACATTTTTTCACACAAAAAAGCCACCTTGGACACCCTATTCCCACCCCTCATTAGGTCTGATAGTTAAAACCTTTTTCAACTTACCTAACAGGCCCCAGATACTATAGAATGTTTTCTAAGTCATAGGACCTTTTGTTCCAATTCACTTTACCTTGTGAACGTTTTGAAAACGTTTTGGGAATGTTGTACAACAACCCAACACCCCTTACTAAGCACGTGACCTGTGGGAACGAGTGGAAGTCATTCTCCAACCCTCCAAGAATGTTGATTAACTCTATTTATCAATTCTATATACATTGTAGCAGTATATACCTCAGCAGCATATGTAAGTTCTATATACATTGTGGTAGCCATTGCAAGCAGGCTAGAAATCTAACCCCCTAAATGCAAGCAAATTCATGGGGAGGGAGTTTAGGGTGTCCTTAGCTTGTCCTAGGTTCAGTCCGGGTGCTAACAAAACAAAAACAGTCACAAAAACTCTTTAAGAATTACATACCCCTGTGTCAAGAACACGCAATGAGGGCAGTGTCCCTGGACCTTTCCCCAGAAGGAGGCCAGAGGTAGAGAATGAGCGGAGGGACTGCAGCCTCAGCAACTCGGAGAGGAGCGCTGTGCCTATGTTCGGTAACGCTTTAGGAGTCTGGTCCTTAACTTCAGAACAAGAGGGCGCGAACTCTGGGGGAGTAGTCATCGATTTTGCACTGAGGTGCCATCAACTACAGTACAGGTCTTATATACATAATAGAGGACAAAGGGGAACAAAGGGGAAAACCCAAGGGGGACTTACCCACTTGCTGGGTCAGCGAGCTCATGAGAAAATCACCTTATCGAGCGTTGTGGAGTGGGTAGGTGAAGGGTGGAATTAGCAACAGCTACTAGAAGTGGGAAAACCTTTGCGGAGTGAGCAGAGGTCCTAGGAGGTCTGTAGTAATATTGGGTAGATAGAAATATTAATAAACATGTAGGATGAGGATAAGAGGTACCGGAGAAGGTACTGGAGATTGGAGGTGGAGGTGAACCAGAGGTGAACTGGAGGGTATAGCGGAGGTGCAGGGGGAGGATGAACCAGAGGTGGACCGGAATGGTGGCAGAGTGGAGCAGAGGTGAGGCGGAGTTGGTATGGATGTGACACCCTGGTCCATCTTGGACAATTGTCAGGGATTCCTTATAATACTCAAGGAGTTAAGCTTAGGGTTTCTTTTCTACTTAGATCTCTCAGTGCTACAGTCTCTTTCATAGTCAAAAGGGAGGTCTCTTTCCATTCCTATGTGTACAGGGCTTATAAACACATGGAATGGCAATAAGGTGGAAAAACAAATGAAAAGAAAATATAAAACAAAAGATTGTTGTTACAGGGACCATGTGGACAGTTATGTACAGCTGATAAGTCTAATGGCTGCTGACATGGAAGTTCAATAAAAAGAAAACAGGAGAGATAAGCAGGCCATATCCACTAATAATTGCTGTCCTCCACCAATTTCCATCATCATACCACACTCACCCATCTCCTCCTACTCGTAGCATCCCTTCCCGACCTCTCCATTCGATTCCCTGGGTTCGTAGCTTTCTCCCAATACCAAATTTGTCCCAAATGGTTGAGATTTGACCGAGTGGTGGGTGTGAGAATCATGAAATTGGCCCATGCACAGGGTTAGACATCCTGGAAAGTGTCTGTGAGAGTCCCCATGTCAATTGAATCTTCATACGTGTCCTTTGTGATTTTTCTGAGCACTCTGGGGTGCATTTTGGTTGTTTGTTTACTTCAGTATGGCTTGTGATTTCCATTTTGGGTCAAAAACCAGTTTCACGATCTCCCAAAGTATGGATCTCAGCTCTGCTGCATGGGACTTTCGGCACTGCCACCCTCACATGCCTTTTGACATTGTGTGGAACCTCATGGTAAGATGAGAAATTGTCACCACCATTGCTCCACAATGGCTGGGTCGATCTGGATGAAATTCAGGGAATCCATGTTTATTATTTTTCTCTATTTTTTGAGCCCTTGATCATCTCTTGGCAGCCAGTAGCGCCAAGTGTAGTTTTTGGGCTGGACCAATTCAGTACTAACATGTTATGCACAATTGTACTCTGTTATAAAGGGAAATAAATTGTTTTTATGCACCGTGGGCATTGGTAGGTGATCCTTGCATGCAAGGAACCCATAAGGAATGTAAACCGCGAAAATACTGGCAGTGTAGAGTATAGTAGGTTATCCTGCCTACTGTTAGAACCAGGCAAGAGTGGATGATTCCAGAGGGGAACCGGAGACTTAGCAAGGAGGGACCTTGGCCTCAGCTACTCAAGGGGAGCGCTGTGCCATTGCTGTTTGTCCATTTGGTCCTTAATTTCAGAAGCAGTGAGCAGGAAGTCTCTAGGGGGCATTTCTGGTCGATTTTAGACTGAGGGTCTAAAACGAGTATGTACAAGCACCTGTATATAGTGGGGAGATGAAAGCACAAGGAAATCAAAGGAGGTCCGAATCAGAACAAAGGCATCTGAATGGAGACAAAGGGATGATGGAAGCAGAGTGGTACTGAAGGTCATGGGTTAGACTCTGTGGTACATCCAAAAGGAGGTAGGGAGGGTGAAGCCCAGAGGGGCAGGAGGATGAGGTGAAGTGGGGTTGATGACTAACTGGCTAAAATGGAAGGAAGCAGTAGTCCAAATAGGGATGAGGGGAAAGTGCAAAAGATACATTACAAGCAGTGAAAGTGCTGAGTATGGTCCATGAAGCTTGGAGGTTGCAGAGCTTATGGAGGTTGCAGAGGTGGGGTTGAAAGTCTGAGGAATATTGGCAATGGTGTTTACGTAGAATGAGGTCACCAATGCAATGGACTTAAGCCAAGGTGGAGTCAAAGTCCGAGGTCAGGACCATGATGGAATCTTGGAGTGAAGGTACAGGTGGTGTCCAAGTATGGGGTATGGGACAGTGGTGGGAGGTCGTAACTTGGCAGAGGTTGGCAGAAGAGGGATGGAAGGAGAGGAATGAGAAGAGGAGTAAGAGGAGGAATGATGTCAGGTCTGAAGGTGAATAATGGAGCAGATGGGGACAGGGTAGGAGAGGGACAGAAGGGGAGGAGTGATGTGAGGAGTGAGGAGGAGGAGTAAGAGGAGGAATGTGTTGTAACTCAGGTTATGGCACCTCTGAGGATGACTTTAGTGTTTATACAAGTAGTAGAAACAGTAAAGTCCGACTCAGTAGTCATGTGACTCATATGGAGTAAGATTGAATAGAAAGAAAATGTCAGGGCTCGGTCCTCGATCAGGGACAGCCCGACCTCAGTCCTAGGTGTGTGCGGTGTTCCGGGTGGTTGGGCACTAGACCCTGTCCTCAGCTCCTCAAACTCACTGAAGGGACTAAGCGGGGATTGAGTTGAGAAGAAGGGTAAGTTTCCCTATTCCCCGCTTGGCTACTATAAAAAGGAAGTGTACTGTACAGTTCATAACGTGACTCCGGGTAGAAGCCGAGCATGTTCCCGCGACTCGGAAAAGGTGTCACATGGGTTAAGGCGAGTTGCTCGCCTTAACCCACGTGATTTTTCCCGCGGGCTCACATGCGGGCTGAAGTTGTGAGAGGTATGTAGGGATGGGGAGGTCTGGGAAGTGGGGGAAGTCTGGGAAGGTGGTTCTGGGGTGTGGTTGGGTGCCCTGACAGCGGGGTCAGGGGCCGATCCCTGACAGAAAAGGATAACTTCAACACTCGACCGCCCTCATGAGGCATCCAGGGCACAATCCCCCAACCTAGCTTCCCCTAAAGTGACCATGATGCAGCCTGTGTTGCTGATAATAATACCACTCTCATCATGGGTTTCAGCAGGATTGAACACCCAGAACTTGGGTCTAGCATGAGGGTTGCTGTGGTGTAAGGTGTTCCAGATATCTCACCACTGTGCCATGCCTATACTGGCAACAGGGTGTTTTCAGAAGAGATCAGCCCACTCCTGATGATCTGGCCAGTTCACAAGAGCCAAGCCGGCTGCCTGTAGCTTATATGGAAGCTTCTTCCATCCGATCATTTTGGAATTGTCACCACAGAGTGACTTCTGCTGCATCATCCATAACAGAGCCTCCAAGCACTTTGCCTGGTACTCCGGCTTCCTCACTGGTTCAGGGGGTTGATCTGTCTGGCCACTGGCATGTTTTGGAATAGAGTGGCCCATTGCGGTATGGACATCCATTGCGATCTGTCCCAGTGCAGCCTTGAAGTTGGGCATCACTTTCTTGAGGTAAGTGTGCAGAACCTCACTACCGGAAATAATCTGATCCAGCTCATGGGGCAATTTATTGCTGCTCCCAGATACGACAATGGCAGCACAGTGGATACCAATGGCAGCTGCTCCCATAACCTCTTTCTTGAGCCATTTGGTCCAAAACCTCATGAGACACTTTTGAATGGGGCCAGGACTGTTCCTCAATCCACCACCAAGGCTAGCCTTTGTTTCCTCATGCTCAAAGACCAAGTTTTGAGCATAGGTAATCTATTGTGAAGAATCCTCACCCCCCATGCTCTCGATGAGGGCCTGATATGCAGGCTTGACCTTTGTGCTTGTATGCTCAGAGGTGGAGAGGTTACCCAGGTCTGGGTTAGGAAACTCCTGGAGAAACTTGACCTGGAAAGCATTCCAGGGATTGCCATGATTTTGATGATGCTGCTGTGAAAGGAGGACATTGGAAAGGGCAAGAATTGAATCGAAGGTCCAATGTTTGGATTTTGCAAACAAACTGACTTCCTCCAGAAAGTGTTCCATGATGCCCAAGAGTTCTGCTTTCTCTGAGTTACTGAGTTTGCCACTCTTCAAGGTTTCATCAAGCCCCTCATCAAGGTCGCCATTGCCATCACCATCATTACAGAGGTTGCTAAGAAGATTCAAGTGCCCGTTGTCCCCAATGGAAGTAGATGTCATGTCCACATCAGCAAGGGGATGAATATCATCACACTGCATGGACACACCTGCATTAATGTGAAGAGACTCTTTAGATTGGTCATGTTAGATTGGTCGTGGGGGGGTGCATGAGATTTGGCACCAACTCTGGCAGTCATCACCTCACTGGCACTTAAAGAATCCTCCAAGCAGTGACCAGCACCATCAGACGGTGTTGAGTGGCAGCAGATACAAATGAAGAGCCAACAAGTGAGGGCCCTGGTGACATGACCACCAAATTGCTGCCTGGAGGTGTCTTGCTATGGCTGCACATGGGATTGGACATGGGGGTCAGGCCAGATAGTATTGTGTGTAGTTGTTTCAATTTCTCCTTCATTTCTTATTCAATCTGCGCTCCATTTGTATCATGTGACTGCAGAGTCATCCTTCAACTGTTACTTCTACTTGGAATGACACTAAAGAACAACTCAGAGCAGCTATTGCTGAGTTATAATAGGTTATGAGCCCTCTTCTTTGAAGAGCTTCAAAAACACGTTTTTTCGTGTTAGAACACACACTTAGAGTCCCTGTGTTCATTTCTTTGCTCTAGCGCCTCAGCCGTCTCTGTTTTCGTCTTGAAACTCACCTACGATGCACTTCACATGACACGCTTCATCTGTCGTGTTTTCTTGCATTTTCTCAGGCCACAAACTCAAAAACCTCGAAAAACTCTTGATCTGCTATCAGGTTAACACTTAAGTGTCTGTGGTTCCAAACCTTCGCACTTACACCTCCCAGACTGCTCCGATCGCTTTGAAACACACGCACA